TTTGGCCAAAGGAACAACTCCATGTTTTCTAAAATGCCTCTCCTCTTTCCCTTTGTGTTAGTCATTTTGGAGAATTACTGGAAGATGGTGGTTCTAGCAAAAAATAGGGGGTGAAAGTGTTTCTTATCCTCAGAGACTCAGATTCAGTAAGTCTAAGGCAGAACTGAGGAGTATCCATTTTCACCAAATTCCTCAGGTGGTAATGATGCATCCACTGGGCCTTTTGGAAATCATTGATATAGACAGACCACATGGGCTACAGAAGTAACCATCTTCTGTTATGTAGACAGTCATTTCCTGACCTTGTAAGTGATTTAAAATATGGCTGGGACTGACCTGGGGCTCCAATCTGGCACCAACCTTAACTCTACCCTCCATGTGACAGTGACAATTAACCTCAATAATCTGACCCCCCCTAGTCTACCTTTCCAGCTTGGTTTTCAACTGCTCATCAACCTGAGTGTTCCACTGCAGCTGGAATTAACATCTATTCTAAGTATTAAGATTTCCTTCTGTGTCTGCTCTTAAAATACTGCTATATGTTCGTTAGCTGGAAGCAAGCACCGAGAGTAAGGGGTATGAGAACTTTATGGGGACTTGGTAGGTAATACCTATGAAAGATAAAATGGGGAGGAAGCAGAATTGAGCAAGGAAAAAACTCAGACCATGATGCATATTTTACTGTCTCAAATGATTCAACAGGAAATCTGGATCAAATATTGCCTGTTAGAGGAGTACCATGTTGGGCAGAAATGGCCAAGCTCTAGTACACTTTTAATGTTGAGTCACTGGATGAGGACTCTCCACAAAGAGCATGGCCTAAGTAGATCTTAAGGTAATATTAATAGATGAAGACACAACGCTAACTGCACTACTTGCAGCTGATTAGCAAATTCATGGCTGCCACAGTTTTTTCCTTCTGTTCTTCAGTTATCCAAACCCTGTCCTCTTCTTTTAACCTCAGTAGTCTTGTCATAACTACTATATTTATTTCAAAATACAGGCTATTAGATCTGGAAATGACCTTAGGGATCATCTCATATTACAGATAAAGAAATTGAGACCCAGGGTGTGTGTGTGTGTGTGTGTGTGTGTGTGTGTGTGTGTGTGATTCAAGATGACACAGCTAGCTAGTCAGAACCAGGACTGGAATCCAGGTGTCCCTTCAGTTCAATTTTGTAGTAGCATTAAGAAAATGCTGCTCATTTTTAAAGATTAGTGGAGGGTCAGTTTTCACTTAAAATGTAACTGCTGCAAATAGGCTCAACTTGCTTCCAAGCATGCAGAATCATTAAAATGAAGAAAAAAATAACCAAACTTCTTTTAGAGAAAATCTTTGAGGCTTAATTTAGTCTTAAATTTGTAAAGAAATAGTGATAAAACTACAATCCTTATAAAAATGCTATAGCCCAGTTCATTTCTATAATCACTACTAATCTAAAAAATTTGCTGAGATACTATTTTAAAATCTTACACATTAAAGGAATTAAAATGGACCGTTGCATTATTACTTTACATGTTGAAAATATGAATGGTTTACCAAATTATTTTCAATTATGTCGAGCTAAGGAAGCAATTGTGAAAAGGGCAAAGGTTATTGTTTATATGGCAGAAAGGTAACTGTTGTATTTTAGTTAGAATTTATTTGTGAAAGGGTGACTTTATTTTCAGTGTTATATGTGATACTGATTTTTAGAATGGAAATGCTGAAACACAGGTGTCAGTTAGATCTGCAAACATTCTTATTTGGAATTCTAAAAAGATAGTCTTTGCTACCAGAAAAAGGAAATTGTCACTTTTAATTTTTTTTTTTATTTTAGCTTTTTCAAGACAGGAATTCTTCAAGTATATGAGTTAACAGCCCATATAAAGCAATTCTCATTCTTCCATATTGTAAAGTTCAAAAATGTGTGTGTGGGAGGGGTTAGAGGGTGGGATGGGGAGCGGGAATGGGGGCAGGCAGATGATGACTCAGAGTCTATCAAGCCACTTGTCAATTTCTCATACCTGTAGAGAAAGATGTGAATGAGGTTTATGGGCTCTAGCCCTACTGGGCCCCAACTTTCCTATTTTAAACCTTGATAAATCTGTTAATTCCACATCCCACTTCAACTAGAATCTCACAAGATTATCAAGTAGGTGTGTAGATGAAACATGCAAACACACAGGGGCCAGCTACACCACCTTTGTGTGAGAAAGGTGGCACACATCTTGTATGCACTTTTAATTGCAAGAGGAAAATGCCAAAGTGAGTCAAAGAAATGCTTTGCAAGTTTGTTTTTTGGAAGTGAGATGGGAAAGGGGAAAAAAAAAAAAAGATGGCTATAGAAAGCCAGAAATCTGTCTTAGATTTTAAGTAGGAGTTGATCTGGGCAGGGATTTACTTATGTATGTCAGAGGAGCAGGGGTCCCTCAGAGACAGGAGGCCTTTTCTTCTCTCTTTATTAAAGTGGAAAAACTGATTACAGCTTTCAGCTTTATTCAGGAGCTTCCAGACCAAGGGATTTGCAGGAAAATGTTATAGGATTACCCAGCTACATAAGATATTGCTCCTTCTGGAATCACTTCTTTTCCCTAAATACTATATTAATAGCTCAATTCTAATGGTACACACTATCTCCTAACACAGATTAGTCTTTCTAGAGTGAGGCAAGATAAGCATATATTTGTATAAATTGTGTAACAAGTGCTAGAATCAGCCCTCATCCTGAATTTTTCCAGCCAGAACATGGCTTTTGAAGGTAAATAACTTTGAGAGAAAATATACTGGGTAAATTTTTCTTTTACCAATCTAGGAAACATATGTAACACATTGGAAAAACTGTTTTTCAGACAGGAGAATTACTGCATTACTGCCAAAGTCACCAATTCACTCACACAAGAACTGTGGTCTTTAGTTGCATAGAGGATGGGAGAAAAAATACCTAAGAGCCATCCTGGTGTTGATAAGTATTATGGTGGAGAGAAAAGAGCTCTGGGATCAGAGACATGGCTTTAGCACTGGCTCTGATCCTGGCTATGTGATCTTGGCAGGCCATTTACCAACTGAGTCTCAGTATCCATATGTACTATGTGAAGATAATAATGCCAATCCTAGGGTTATTGGAAACTGCATGAGATCATGGACATGAAAGAGTTTAGAATTAAGAATAATGTAATCCATAACAGTAAAGTTTTATTATTCACCCTCTGAGCTGTTACACAGGAACAAGTGTAATGTGAATGGGGAACACTGACAGCAGGGGCTTCCAGGATTGTAGTATGGCAAATACCAAGCTCATAGTCAACACAGGTTGTTTACTAGATTGGAGAGATAAATAAGTTTGGAGAAATTTGTCATTTTATCAGGAACAATCTGCAGGGAGGTCCTGCTGCTGTGTCTCAGACTAACCTTTGCCTTTCACCTCTAATTTATCTAAGATACTGTGGGTTATCTACATAGATGGCACCAACAGTTTTGTGCTGAGAAGAAAGTTAATTTTCCCACAAGTCACTAAAAGTAAAAGAGCTAAAGGAAAGTTTATGTTGTATATGGAAGCCAGGTTGGCCCCTGTGTATGGCTATAGGGTGTCACCAAGGTCCAAATGAATATCTGTGGCATGTCAGATGCCAGAGTCCACATCCTCAGAGTAAGGGTAGACAGGAACTCACAGAATTGCAGCTAAGAAATGCTCTGGATGCATAACTTACTCTAGGCCTAGCTTGGAATGAGTCAGTTTGCTAACTAATTACTTTCCAATAAGTTAGGCCTCAGATTTCTCAGCAACCCCAGTTGGAATCATGTTTTTAGAATTGAGAAATCAAATTTTCTAAGTGAAAGAATTTCATTCATTAGGGCCAGCCTGAGGCCTTTTCAGTTTCCATCTAGACTTTGAGGATGCAGGGAATACCAGCATCAAACCATTCTCAATGGATCTTGCCCACCCCATTTTCATTTTGATTTTGGTAAAGTCAAGAGTGAAACTGGTCACAGTCCGGTTAAGGTTAGAAAGCTTCAGGCTGGTCCTGGTATCTCTATTCAACTGGAAAAGTGGGTCAACCCCCAGTGATCCCACTTCTAGGAATATACCCTAAGAAGCCTGAAAACACCAATCAGAAAGAATATATGTACCCCCATGTTCATAGTAGCACTATTTACAATAGCTAAAATGTAGAAACAGCCCAAGTGTCCATCAGTAGATGAATGGATAAAAGAGCTGTGGTACATATATACAATGGAGTACTATTCAGCTGTAAGAAAAAAAACTCTCTTATCCTTTGAGACGACATGGATGGACCTGGGAAGTATTATCCTAAGCGAAACAAGCCAAACAGAGAAAGACAATCACATGATCTCACTTATTTGTGGAATATAATGAACATAACAGTCTGAGGAATGAGGTAGTCCCAGAGAGGTGGAAGTGGGGTACAGACTGACAATCCCCAGAAGAGGGGGTGGGGAAGAGATAAACCACAGAACTTATATGCATGTATGCATGAACAATGGACATGGACAACAAAGCTGGGGATGGGGGGATGGAGGGGGAGAGGGAAATCAGTGGCGAAAAAGGAGAAACATCTGTAACAAAAATAAATTAATTAATTAAATAAAAAAAATAAAAGTGGGTCAACCTTGTAGTATACTCCACAGTCAGTCTTGGTTTAAAAGACCCTACTAGCGGAGACCAGGGGAATATGATTTTTAAGCAGGAGATCAGTGGGTGCAATGGCAAGGTGGGATAAGTAAGCAGGTGGGCTTACATGCTCCCCATCCCTGAACAGATTTTCTAATGATTTTATATGCTGGAGATTCACTTAACAAGTTAGAAAACCCCTGACATAGGGCATAAGTGCCAAGAAAGGGAAGTGTACAATTTTAGGGAGAACAAAAACTTGCTCCAGACTCAGTGTCGTTAGTGGCAAAAAGAGAAAATGATGGTAATATCTTTTGACCTTTTGGATTTACAGTAGAAAATCATGAGCAAGTTTGGTAAAAGAAATTCTCTTCTTCAAACCCAAGTTCAGTAAAAGAACAAATCTTTTCTTCTCTCTGGAGACTGGCTTTCTGAAAAAGAAGATAAGCATGATGAGGAAGAAGCTGGCTCAGGGAGTTAAATGAGCTCAGGTTTAAACCTTGACCTCGCCACTGCAGAGCTGTGTAACTGTGGGCAAGTTACTTAGTCTATCTGAACTCCACTTTCCTCATCTATTAAATGGGGATAATAATGATACCTGCCTCTTAAGATTCTAGAAGGATTAAGTGACTTAAACAGAGATACGGCCCTTAGAACAGTGCCTGGCACATATATGCTCAGTAAATGTTAGCTATTATTTTGTTAAAGAGGCAGTGTGTTTATCTGTAGTAAAGTGGAGTTATTTGTGGTTACGCAGCAGTTTAAGCTTAGTAGATAAGACCAAGGCCTTTGAAGTTAAAAAAAGAAAAAAAAGCTGATTCTGGCACTTACTCACATTGACTTTGGGAAAGTTACTTAACCTACCCAGACCTCCATTTTCCCATCTCTAAACAGCATAATAATAGCACCTGCATTATAGGCAGATATTGGTTCTTATTTTGCTTCACGTCTGCGATTCTTGTCATTCTCCTCATCTCTAATGACCTTTTATTTCACTCTACTTCAGCTAGACATTCCCATAGTTACATGTTAGACTTTGTCATCACCTACAGAGGTGGCACTATTGATATCTCAATTTCAAACATTTACTCTCCAAAAACCACCTTCCATTTTTATACAAACTAATGTTCCATTTCATCAACCATCACTCTCCATCTGTCTGTATTTCCTTCTTTGTGCAGTTTAGATACCATGATCCCTTTTCATAATCACTCACCTGCAAATATCCTTAACTCTTTTTCCTCTTTCTCTATCCATCATGCTCACTTGCCAAAAACTCAATCTTAACTGAGCCTCACTATTTGCCATATCTGTGCATTACACTAACTTAACAACACTGGTAAAAATCATACAACCCAGCTGACTGTTTGAAACTCATGATCTCAGACTTGAGATCAGCACTGTTCATATTTGTCTGAGCGGGCTTGCTTTCCCAATGTCCAACATCGCACATTCTCATTCTCAGGTGGTGATCTTGCCCCATAGTTGATTGAGAAAATAGAAATCATTTGGTTAGTATGCTGTAGACTCCCCATAAACAAGCCTGAAAATCTATTTACACCTGTGTCCTTATTTTTATTTTGTACATTTTCAACAGTAGAATGTCCCCTCTTCCTAGCAATTGTCAATGCTTCTAGATGACTCTTCTATCTTCTTGATGACTTCACCCTTCTTCTCCTCCATCACTGAAGTCTTCATCTTTGTTTGGATCCTTCCCATTACCATACAAATATGTTCCAATATTTGCCTTTAAAAGGCCCTCCCTATCCTATTAGTCTCTTTTAGCTACTACTTCATTTCTATTTACCCCCTCAATGATAAACTCCTTTAAGAAGCTGCTGGTGCGTACTGTCTCCTCTTTTTCATCTTCCATTCACTCTTCAACCTACTCCAGTCTGGCTTCTATCCATATCACATAACAAAAATAGTCCTTAACAAGGTTGTCAACATTTCTGACACCACATTCAATGGACATTTCTCTGTTCTTCTCTTAATCTCTCAGAAGCCTTTGACACAGTTGATCAGTCTCTGTTTTGAAACATTCTCCTCTTTTAGTCTGTAACATCACACTCTCCTGGTTTTCCTTCTACGAGTGACTGCTCCTTGTTGTATTCCTTTTTAGTTCCTTAGGTCAACTTCCAAATATTGGCATATTCTAGGACTCTGTCCTCTGTCCTTTTTTTCTTCTTTATCTACACCCTCTGCAGAGGGAATCATTCAGTGGTTTTAAATTTCGTTTATATACCAATCAGTATCAACAATCTTTCACATTTTGATATTATTTGATACATTTTGTACCACTATTTACCCAGTTGCTCAAGCAGTAAAAGAAAGAGCTAACCTGCATTCTTCCCTTTTCTTCACCACTTCCATCCAGAGCATTAGCAAATCCTAAGTGCTAAACCTCCCAAATAGATCTCAAATACATATACTTCTATTGCCATCGCTGTGACCTAGCCCAGGTTATCATCTTTTCATGTTTCTTGTCTCCAAACTGGTTTCTCTGTTTTCATTCTTGCCTTTCTCGAGTCTATCCTCTCTACCACAGTTTATGTAACCTTATTAAATGCACATTGGATTTAATAAGGGCCTTCCAAGATTCACCAAGTCACTTAGAATATAAAATCTAAACTCTCAACATGAATCACAAGACCCTCTGTCACCTTGCACCTGTCTACCTCTCCAGCCTGGTCTTATGCTGCTCTCAGTTTCTCACTACACTCTGGCCACACTGACCTTTTTTCAATTGCTGACACACTTCTGGGCCTTTTCTGACTCCCTCCATCTCTACCCCAACTCTTCCCAAAGTTGGCTCTCTCACTTCTTTCAGATACCTGTTCACGTCACTTCCTCCAAGAAGCCTTCTTTGACCACCTTATCCAAAGTTGGCCTCCCATCTTTTCCTATTGCAACACCTTGCATGTTATCTTCACAGCTAATTTGCAATTATATTGTTTTTTCCCCTTTTGGGGGTATGTGGTTTTGCCTTCCCCAATAGATTATTAATTCTATGAAAAGAAGGATATATATATATAAATACACACATATATATATGCAATATTGATGCTATTATTATCTGTAGACATTGAAGCAAAATATACATTCAGTGACTCTTTCTTCAAATGAAAAAAAATCAAATTCACTAAAAATTTTGGCAACAAAGTTTTTGGGAATCACCTTGAGAAAATCTGTCTGACCACCCTTCTGGTTGATTGCTCTTCTGATCCAAATAGTCACTATATCAGAGGTACCTGACAGCCTACATGAGGGGACTAGGCCATATTAGAAGGGTAGGAGGATACTCTGTCTTCCTTGTTTTGATAACAATTTATTTGGGGCTTCACATAGGAAATCTTTCAGAACTACCAAAATTTCTATTGAAAGGTTCATTCAGTTCACCTTGAAATCAGGTTAATATAAAATATATAAAGAATCAAATATAGTGAGCTACAAAGATGGGGGTACATATATTCTTTCTGATTGGTGTTTTATGCTTCTTAGGGTATATTACTAGAAGTGGGATCACTGGGTCAAATGGAAGATCAATTTTTAATTTTTTGAGGTGACAGTTTGAGGAATGGAGTAGTCCCAGAGACGCAGAAGCGGGGTACAGACTGACAATCCCCAAAAAAGGGGGGGTGGGGGAGGGATGAACCACAGAACTTATATGCATGTGTGCATGAACAGTGGACATGGACAACAATCTGGGGAAGGGGCAGGGAGGGAGGGGGAGGGGGGAATCAGTGGGGGGGAAAGGAGAAACATCTGTAACAAAAATTAATCAATAAAAAAAATAAAAGAAAATAAAATAAAAGAATCAAATATATAGAGGCAAGTGAGTTCCATGTCAAATCTACCAAATCATAAAGTAAGGGTGCAGAGTCTGTGCATTTCACAAGCTCTCCCTGTGGTTTTCATCATCAGGCAAGACTGCAAAACTGACTTAAGAACATGCATGGGCTTTTCTGGGTTTCCTGATTCTTTTATCCACATCCCTCAGAACTTATCCCCGTCCTAGTCACCATGTTCTGCTGTCTCCCTTTGCCCAGAGCCAAATTGGCAAGATAGCCACTTCTCCTCAACTACTGCTCACAAGGAAAGCTCATTCCCTGCCCCTTTCCCAAAGTAATATTGCTCCTTTGCATGTTTTCCAAGCCTTCTGCATCCCCCCACCCCGACTTATTCTAGGATAGTGTCCTGATCACAGATAGACTGTGAACAGTAAAACAATCTTATCAGTTGATAATTTTCACTGCTGCACACTTGATTTAAGTTGGAATTATTTTTGATGATTTATGTTTATTGTAATTTATGATACTGACACTGTGACTCTGACACTGTGAGAGCAGAGAGATAATTCCTCTGCTGCTTGCTGTCATCTTAAGGCAAGTCTTTTCACCTGTTTGAAATAGTCTTTTCATCTATAAAATGGGAATATTTTATTTATTTGTTCAATTCCTATTTACCAAATACCTAATGTGTAAGGCACCTAAGATACACTCACACACATATCATGAGGTTATTGTGGGAACTGAGCAGGATGGAGCATCGGATATCTGATTCATAGTCACCACCCATACATGTTGCTATTATTTTTGCCCTGCAGCAATTTAAAGTTTCAAGTTTCCAGGAATTCTAAGGCTTACAATTTAATACAATTTGAAAAGGTATAAATTATTACAAGTACTTAGGAGTCCTGACTTTCTTTCATTAGAAGCCCAGTAGAGCTTACTCCCTCGGGCAGAGATTGATGCAAAGCCCAACTCAGCCTTGCCAAGGCTCTTGAACTAGCCCTAAATCTATCTCCTCATTTGTGCATGGCCAATTAATCATTCAGGTGGTTTGTAGCTTATTTATTTGTTAGTCTTAGACAAGGACTTCAAACAAAATAATTTGCACTACATTGGCAGATATATCTGTACCATTTCCTTAATCAGTGCTTTTATTGTTTTCAGCATTCACTCATTCATAAAATACATATTGACCACAGGTGCTGGAGATGTGGCAGCACACCCCTCAAAGTCTCAGCCCTCAAGAGGTTGACATTTTTGTGAGGTCTTTATAGTGCCCTCTCCCCCACTTCACATTAGACTGTAAAGTGCCTGAGATCAGGGGCCATGGTGGCAGCTGTTACATTTTTTCCTCTCAATCACACAGCATGGAGCACAGCTTGAGGTATATAGGATGTCCAGTGTGTGTGTGTGTGTTTGGTGGCTTACTTTTCATGGCTTACTGTGGCTAATTTACATTAGGATATAACTTAAAAGAATTTACATATATTATCACTTAATCCTCAAAGAAATCCATTGAGGTGGCACTATTTTAATCCTCATTTTACAAAGGAGGAACTCAGGTATAGAGAGGCTAAGAAATGGGACCAAGTTCCTGAAGTAATAAGTAATGAAGCGACATTTGAACCCCCAGGCTGTTAAGATCCTCATGTCATTCCACCCAGTTTGCCCTTATTTGTAAGTTCTTACTGAAATTAGTTTAAAATTGAGTGTGGAGCCCATAGTCCTGGCCTTTGGTGTCCAGTTTCATTTTTCCTGATTGCAGAGTCTTGGGGTGGCCCTACGTTCTGGGCTGAAAACTGCACATCTGGGACAAATCAAGCTAATCCTATTAACTTGTTCATTTTTCTGAGTCACTTCAGTAACTTCAGTTAAATCTAGCTCAGACTTTAAAAACCTCAATAAGGTTGCTTCTATGTCAAAATAAGAAAATGGTCAAGACTTTTATAAGATACAAGTGGATGCGCTCTGAGACTCAGATGAAACAAATTCTAAATATGAAAATACTAAATAATACAAATGAGGGTCTCTTCAGTTAAAGATCCTGGGTTTTATGCTACAAGCTTCTCCTCAGTTTGTTCTCAAGATACAGAGACATACTATCAAAAGCAGAACCATGTACTTATTTCCACTTGCAGTGCTAGCATTGCCAAGGCTGACACTGGCCAGTCCACGATCAGGAGGAAAATATTTCTTACCTAAAAACGAAGAAACATGATTGAAAATAAAAGTCTAGGGCTGGGTTAGAAAGTGCTCAGTTGTACCACAGGGCTCCCAAATCACCTGACCCTCGGTTTATGGACACCTGGCATATTTTCTCTTAGATGCTACTAAAACAGAGAAACTTCTGTGTTTGTTTTTTCTTTATTGATTTTAGAGAGGGAGGAAGGGAGACGGAGAGAGAGATAGTAGCATTGATGAAAGAGAACAATAATTGGCCAGCTACTGCATGCCCCTCACTGGGGATCGAGCCTACAACCTGGGCATGTGCCCTGACTGGGAATCGAACAGAGACTTCTTGGTGCATGGGCTGACACTCAACCACTGAGCCACACCAGCCAGGTGAGAAACTTCTGTTTTTAAGGTTCCCTGAGCCTTGTTCCCATCTTCTAGGTAGTGTTTCTTCTTCTCCTTTTTTTTTTCCAGAGCTTTCATATTTATTAAATGACATCAGAACTTTTGCATTTATTAAATGTGTTGCCCTTTCAAGAAGTTCCCTTGGGACACTGCACACTTATTCTGATGCTGCTGCCAGTGTGCTAGACATCTCAGGAGCTGCTCTTCACAAGTTATAGTATACCTGAGAAAATTGTCTTCGCCTTTTTTTTTTAATTGATTTATTTATTTTTGTCACAGATAGTTCTCCTTTTTCCCCCAGTGATTCCTCCCTCCCCCTCCCTCCTCAATCTGTCCCTAGCTTTGTTGTCCATGTCCATTGTTCATGCATACATGCATATAAGTTCTGTGGTTTATCTCTCCCTTACCACCCCCTCTTCTGGGGATTGTCAGTCTGTACCCCACCTCCACATCTCTGGGACTACCCCATTCCTCAGACTTTTATGTTCATTATATTCCACAAATAAGTGAGATCATATGATACTTGTCTTTCGCTATTTGGCTTGTCTCGCTTAAGATAATACTTTCCAGGTCCCTCCATGTCATCTCAAAGGATAAGAGATCTTTCTTTCTTACAGCTGCATAGTACTCCATTGTGTATATGTACACTGCTTTTTTATCCATTCGTCTACTGATGGACATTTGGGCTGTTTCCAGATCTTAGCTATTGTAAATAGTGCTACTATGAACATGGGGGTATATATATTCTTTCTGATTGGTGTTTCAGGCTTCTTAGTGTATATTCCTAGAAGTGGGATCACTGGGTCAAATGGAAGTTCAATTTTTAATTTTTAGAGGTAACACCATATTGTTTTCCATAGTGGCTGCACCAGTCTGCATTCCCACCAGCAGTGTATTAGAATCCCCTTTTCTCCACACGCTCACCAACACTAGTTGTTTGATGATCTGTTGATGGCGGCCATTCTGACAAGTGTGAGGTGATACCAATGACATACTTCACAGAACTAGAACAAATACTTCAAAAGTTCAAATGGAACCAAAAAGACCTCGAATAGCCACAGCAATCTTGAAAAAGAAGAACAAAGTAGGAGGGATCACATTACCCGATGTCAGGTGATATTACAAAGGCACTGTAATCAAAACAGCCTGGTACAGGCACAAGAACAGGCATATAGACCAGTGGAACAGAAAAGAGAACCCAGAAATGGACCCAGGGCAATATGCTCAATTACTATCTGACAAAGGGGACAAGAGCATACAGTACAGTAAAGACAGTCACTTTAATAAATGGTGTTGGGAAAATTGGACAGCTACATGGAAAAAAACTAGACCATCAACTTACACCATACACAAAAGTAAACTCAAAATGGATGAAAGACTTAAATGTCACTCATGAATTCATAAAAATCCTAGAAGAAAATGTAGGCAACAAAATTTCAGACATCATATACAACAGAATTTTCACTGACACATCACCTAAGGCAACAGAAACAAAGGAGAAAATGAACACATGGGACTACATCAAACTCAAAAGCTTCTGCACAGCCTTAAGATACAATCATCAAAATGGAAAGGCAACCCCTGTATGGGAGAGCATAATTGACAATGATACATCATATAAGGGGTTAATTTCCAATATATATAGAGTGCTCATACAATTCAACAAAAGGAAGACAAAGAACCCAATTAAAAAATGGGCAGAGGAACTAAATAGACACCTCTCTAAACAGGACATACAAATGGCTAAGGGACATATGAAGAAATGCTCAATATCACTAATCATCAGACAGTGTTTCTGATTAAGGGTTACTAACTTCCTCAACAGACCTGGAACCATCAGTTACCAATTAATACAACTAATATCAACATTAACAAAAAGTATGAAGAGTTTGCGGTAGTCAAGACGTTACTGACAAACATTTGACACTGTGCCTGCATTATAGTTTTGTCACAGTGTGTCTGGCATATAGTAGATGCTCACTAAGTATTTGCTGAATTGGATTTAATATAGTCATGCTTGGCAATAATTTGAGCCATCTGTGTTCTATGTTCTAACCAACTCTTGAAACAAGGCTCTTCTGTGTGTATGCACAGGCATATACACAAACACAGTTGGCCTGATCTTCCTTCTGGATACAGTAGAAACAGATTTTTGACAAAGAGTTCAGGGTGGGAATTTTCATAGGGTTCCCAAGCATAACATTTTTATAATTTATTCTTTTTTTTTGTCAGTCCTCAGCCCAGGATATTTTTCCACTGATTTATTTATTTATTTTTTAGATATAGTGGAAAGGAGGGGAGGGGGAGAGAGAGAGAGAGAGAGAAACATAGATGTGAGAGAGACACATTGATTGATTACCTCCTACATTACCCGATATCAGGGCCAGGATGGAACCTGCAACCCTGGTACATGCTCTTGACTGGGAATCAAACCTGAGACCCTTTGGTCCTCGGGCCTATGCTCTAATGGCTGAACCAAACTGGCCAAGGCTGTAATTCTTTTAAAGTACATACATTCATAATCAAACTCTGGAAATGATGAACTTGTATTTTAATAGGAAATTTTTTTTCAACTTTAGGATGGGACAGTGTCTGACATAGGGAGGCTATGCTGAACAGAACCTTTGTGTACTATACACACAGTTCAGAGAAAAGGTAGCTTATAGCAATTGTTTTCAGGCATGGGACACTAGAACAACAGATGTGGATAGACTTGGGAACTATAACAGGACATTTACTCAGAGTGCATAATGCCAGAAGATGCAAACTTGGCCCCATGAAACTATAAAATATATATATTATCAGTATTTCACATGAAAGGCAAATCTTGTAGCAGAGTGAGTTGCTCTTTTGGTGAAAATATACCTCAAGCCAATTCTTTCCCATCCTTTTACAAAGAAGGGAGTCTTGTTTTGGTTTTGTTAATCCTCACTTAAGAATATTTTTCCATTTATTTTTAGATAGAGTGAAAGGATGAGGGGAGGGGGACATTGATGCAAGAGAGACACATTAATTGGTTGCCTCCCACACAACCGTGACTGGGGCTAGGGATCAAACCTGCAATCCAGGTTGTACCCGTGACCAGGAATCGAATCTACAACCCTTTGGCCCATGAGCCAATGCTCTAACCTGTGAGCCAAACTGGCTAGGGCTTGTCTTTTTTTTTTTTTTTTTTAACGGGTATTTTATATCTAGTAAGCACTAATTAAATATTTGTTGACTCAGTAAATAAAGAAGTGTTTTAGTTCAGTGAAAGGGGTGATGATCAGGGAACGGGAATCCAAGGAAAACCGAGCAGGAGGAGCCCACCGCACAGGCATGACTCATATACATCCAGGCACTGAGATGGTCTCCAGGCAGCAATGGGGCTGCCTTTATAGTTGCTTTGAATTTTAATGTGTGAAGCAGATGACTGGTATAAATTGCCCTTGTTTTTGCTTGGCATCATTGCAAATTGCCAACCTGTTTGGAGAATCGAGCTTTAGCTTGTAGGTATGCCACAGAGATCTGTTTTACAAATAAATTATTTAGTGGCTCACAGTGAGTGAATGCAGACCCTACAATTTCAGGCAGCAACACATCATTTTCCTAGGATAAGTCCAAGTAAACAGACTGGGTGAATATTCCAGGCCAAGTTCATCTGCCTGGCTCTCTATGTACCCCTTTATTCATTAAACTGTGAATGTCAATGAAGCCTAGTGAAGATATATAGAACATTTAAGTAGAACATTCTGTTCCTCAAAATCCCCATGTCCAAAGTGGCAGCGATTAATATTGACACCCTACCTCATGCCAACTCACTCTCAACTCCAACCAATCAGAGACAAGCAAGTGTCTGGAGGCTTTTACTTATAGTGGGCTGAGCTGGAATACAGGTTGAAGGGCAATCCTGTGCTTTTGGTTGCTTAGGCAGGGTTGCAATTTTCCCACATGGCACATTGTTGATAATGTGCTACACATCTCTCTTGCTGGAGGAATTTTAGGAGGGACTCATATTTCCCATCAGGCTGGGTCTCTGGAACCAGGTGCCCAGTGGGGAAGGCATGAGGGTATTCAGGCTCTGGAGATTTGGGGCTGGTTGAGGAGGAGAAATGCCACAGCTTACCAGGCTGAACAGAGGGACTTCTAGTCAAGGGCAGTGGGTACTGATTCATAGCCATGGGACCAAACCCATTCATGATGCAGTTGGTGTCATCATTTGCAAAAAATACTTCAGGCTGTGGTTTTGTCCACTGAGAAGAGAAATGCCACTGATTTGGAGGCCTGTCAATATCTGGGAAGGAAAGTTTTAGAAGACATGTTAAGTATTTATGTATTGTTTTCAAAAGGGAAGTAACAATTTTTTCTGGTTAATATACATTTTTAATGTAAAGAAATTCAGAAAAAGGTTTAAAAAATCACTCATCATAATATCCAGAGACCACCATTGTCCACCTTTGGTTTATTTCTTACTGGGAATTGTTTCTATTCATTTATGCATAGTTTTATTTTTATTTATTTCTTGATTTGAGAGAGTAAGAAAGGGAGAAAAATAAAAAAAAGAAAAAGAAAAAAAGAAAGAGAGGAAAGGAGAAGAGAGAAACATCAATTTGTTGTCCCATTCATGTGTTTATTGGTTGATTCTTGTATGTGCCCTGACCAAGGACTGAACCCAAAACCTTGCTGTATTGGGACAACACTCTAACAAACTGAGCTACCTGGCCAGATCCACAATATTTTCACATAACATATTGTTTTTAAGGCTGCTTTTGCATCATTAATATCACAAATATCCCCCATAGCAATAAATAGAGCCAACAGCAGCTTTTTAAAATTTTTATTTTTTTATTTTTTTTACAGATGTTTCTCCTTCTACCCTCCAGACCCACACCTCCCCTTCCCACCCCACCCCCCCAGCATTGTTTTCTATGTCCATTGCTTATGCATACATACATATAAGTTCTGTGGTTCATCTCATCCATCCACCCTGCCACCCCCCCCATTCTGAGGTTTTTCAGTTTTAACCATACTCCATTCTATGTCTCTAAGTCTATTTTCTTCATCAGCCCACCTTGTACATTATATTCCACAAATAAATCAGATCATGTGATATTTGTCTTCCTCTGATTGACTTATTTCATTTAACATAATACTCTCGAGGTCCCCCCATGCTGTCTCAGAGGATAAGACATCTTTCTTTTTACAGCTGCATAGTACTCCATTGTGTATATGTACCACAGCTTTTTTATCCATTTGTCTACTGATGGACACTTGGACTGTTTACAGATCTTGGCAATTGTATATAGTGCTGCTATGAACACAGGGGTACATATATTCTTTCTGATTGGTATTTCAGGCATCTTAAAATATGTTCCTAAAAGTGGGATCACTGGGTCAAATGGCAATTCAATTTTTAATTTTTTGAGGAAACACCTTAGTGTTTTACATAGTGGCTGCACCAGTCTGCATTCCCACTAGCAGTGTACTAGAGTACCCTTTTTTCCACACCATCATCAGCACTTCTTGTTTGATGATTTGTTGAAGGCAGCCATTCTGGCTGGTGTGAGGTGATATCTCATTGTAGTTTTAATTTGCATCTCTTTGATAATTAGTGATGTTGAGCATTTTTTCATATGTCTCTTGGTCATTTGTATGTCCTATTTGGAGAGATGTCTATTTAAGTCCTCTGCCCATTTTTTAATTGGATTCTTTGTCTTCTTTTAGTTGAGTTGTATGAGCACTCTATATATATTGGAAATTAGCCCCTTACCTGATGTATCATTGGCAATTATACTCTCCATTACAGTGGGTTCCCTTCCAATTTTAATGGTTGTTTCTTTTGCTGTGCAGAAGCTTTTTGGTTTGATGTAGTCCCATGTATTCATTTTTTCTTTTGATTTTGTTGCCCTAAGTGATATATCATGGAAAATTCTGCTGCATATAATGTCTGAAATTTTGTTGCTTACATTTTCTTTTAGGATTTTTATGGATTCATGAGTCACGTTTAAGTATTTTATTCATTTTGAGTTTATTCTTGTGCATGGTATAAGTAGATGGTCTAGTTTCTTTTTTTTTTTTTTTGCATGTAGCTGTCCAATTTTCCCAACAACATTTAATAAAGAGGCTGTCTTTACTCCATGGTATGCTCTTGCCACCTTTGTCAAATATTAATTGTGCATAATGTTTTGGGTCAATTTATGGGTTCTCTGTTCTACTCCATTGATTCATCTGCCTGTTCTTATGCCAGTACCAGACTATTTTGATTACAATAGCTTTGTAGTATAACCTGATATCCGGTATTGTGATCCCACCTACTTTGTCCTTTTTCAAGATTGCTGTGGCTATTTGAGGTCTTTTTTGGTTTCATATGAACATTTGAAGTATTTTTTTTTAGTTCTGTGGAATATGTCATTGGTATTTTGATGGAGATTACATTGAATTTCTAGATTGCTTTAAGTAGTATGGACATTTTATTTACTTATTCATTTATTTTTCTTTTCTTTTTTTTATCCTCACCAGAGGACATTTTTCCTTTTTTTTTTTTTCAGATAGAGTGGAAGGGAGAGAGAGAGATAGAGAGACAGAGAGAGAGAGAGAGAGAGAAACACTGATGTAAATGGGACACATCGAGTGGCTGCCACCCGCACAACCCAACCAGGGCCTGGGACAAACTGCCACCGATGTACATGCCCTTAGCGGGAACTAAACCCGGGTCTCTCTAGACCCCAGGCTGACGCTCTAATCACTGAGCCAAACTGGCCAAGGCAGTATGGACATTTTAATGATGTTAATTTTTCCAATCCATGAATAAGGTATGTGCTTCCACTTTTTTTTATCTTCCTCTATTTTTTTTTTCAGTGTCCTGTAGTTTTCTGCAAAGAGGTCCTTTTCTTCTTTGGTTAAGTTTATTCCTAGGTATCCTAATTTTTTTGCCGCTATGGTAAATGGGATTGTTTTCTTAATTTCTCTTTCTGTGAGTTCATCATTGGTGTATAAAAATGCCATCCATTTTTTGACATTAATTTTGTATCCTGCTAATTGCCCAAATTCATTTATTAAGTCTAGTAGGTTTTCATGGCATCTTCAGGGTTTTCAATGTACAATATCATGTCATCTGCGAATAATGACAGTTTACCTTCCTCCTTTCAATTTGGATTCTTTTCATTTTTTCTTCATATTTGATTGCTGTGGCTAAGGCTTCCAGTACTAAGATAAATAAGAGTGGCAAAACTGGCGTCCCGGTCTTGTTCCTATTTTTAAGGGAAATGCTTTTAGTTTTTGCCCATTGAGTATGACGTTGGCTGTAGGTCTTTCAAATATGGCCTTTATTATGTCAAGATATGATCCCTCAATTCACACATTGTTGAGCGTTTTTATCAAAAATGGGTGCTGAATTTTGTCGAATGCCTTTTTAGCATCTATTGATATGATCATATGGTTTTTAACTTTCATTTTGTTTATGTGGTGTATCACATTTATTGATTTGTGATTATTGTACCAGCCTTGAATCCCTGGGATGAATCCCACTTGGTCATGGTGAACAATTTTTTTGATGTATTGCTGGGTCAGATTTGTTGTATTTTGTTAAGGATTTTGGCATCTATGTCCATCAGGGATATTGGCCTGTAGTTTTCTATCATTGTAGTGTCTTTTTCTGGTTTTGGAATTTGAATTATGCTGGCCTCATAAAATGAGTTTGGAAGTCTTGCTTCTTGAATTTTTTGGAATTGTTTGAATTGGTTAGTTCTTCTTTGAATGTTTGGTAAAACTCCCCCATGAAGCTGCCCAGGCCTGAGCTTTTGTTTGCTGGGGGAGTCTTGATAACCTCTTCAATTTCTCTAGTTGTTATTGGTCTGTTCAAGTTTTCTATCTCTTCCCGGTCCAGTTTTGGGAGAATATGTATTTCTGGAAATTTGTTCATTTCGCTTAGATTGTCGAATTTGTTGCCGTATAATTGTTCATTGTATTTGTTAATGATCCTTTGCATTTCTTTTTGGTTTCAGTTGTTACTTCTCTCATTTCTGATTTTGTGTATTTGGGTTCTCTCTTTTTGGTCTTGGTGAGACTAGCTAAGGGTCCATCAACCTTGTTAATTTTTTTCGAAAAACCAGCTCTTTGTTTCATTGATCCTTTGAATTGTTCTTTTGGTCTCTATGTTCTTTATGTCTGCTCTGATCATTACTATTTCCTTCCTTCTACTTGCTCTGGTTTTTTTTTTTTTTTTTTTTTTTTTTTTTTTTTTTTTTTTTGCTTTCTGGTTCGTTAAGTTGTAAGGTTTGATAGCCAATTAAACATTTTTCTTGTTTCTTGAGGTAGCCCTGTAGTGCTATGACCTTCACTCTCAGAACTGCTTTCGTTGCATCCCATAGATTTTGTGTTGTTGTGTGTTCATTTTCATTGGTTTCCAGGAAGTTTTTAATTCCTTCCTTGATCTCCATAGTAACCCATTCCTTGTTCAATAACATGCTATTTATCTCCATGTTTTCAAATGTCTTTGCATGTTCTTGCTGCAATTGATTTCTAGTTTTATGCCCTTGTCATCTGAGAAGATGCTTGATATGATTTCAATCTTCTTGAACTTGTAGAGACTTAGTTTGTGCTCTAACATGTGGTCTCTCTTTGAGAATGTCCCATGTGCACTTGAGAAGAATGTGAATTCTGCAGTTTTGTGGTGTAATTCTCTGTAGATATTTATTAAATCCATTTGATTGAGTGCTTCATTTAACGTCTCTGTTTCCGTGTTAATTTTTTGTCTAGAAGATCTATCCGGTGATGTCAGTGGGGTGTTGAAGTTCCCTGCTATGATTATATTGCTGTCAATTTCTTCTTTGAAGACCTCCAGAAGATTTTTAATATATTTTGGTGCACCTATAATGGGTGCATATATGTTTACAAGGTTGTAGCTTCCTGATGGATAAATCCTTTCAATATTTTATACTGGCCTTCTTTTTCTCTAGTTATGGCCTTCATTTTGAAATCTATTTTATCAGATATGAGTATTGCTACCCCAGCTTATTTTTCCTTTCCATTTGCTCGTAAGATTTTTTTCCATTCCTTCACTTTCAACCTATGTGAGTCTTTTGTTGTGAGGTGGGTCTCTTGTAAACAACACATATATCACCCAATCAGATATATATATGAGTCATGCTTTCTTATCTAATCAGCTACCCTGCGTCTTTTGATTGGAGCTCTCAATTCATTTACATTTAAGGTGATTATTGATATGTACTTAGTTATTGCCATTTTTGTTTAGTGTGGTTATATTTTTCTTCATATTTCTTGTACTATTTACAG